CATCATTTTTCAACGGTTACTAATTATATTTCAATGCATCACATTTTATATAAACATTAAATTATAGTTTTTTTACATTTAAATGACTTATTTACAATAATATAAAACTTGTAAGTATTGTTAATAAAATATTTTTCATGATTTATTTGAATTTCCTAACATATTTATGTGTATCTTGATTTTTCATCTRTATTCATGTGTATACAAAACATATCCCAATATGTCTCTTAAAAWTGTCTTTCCAATACACCCTGCGTTTCCAATACTTTGAACMTTGGTGTCAACACATCAAATATATCGTGTTATATAAGAATTTGTGGGGAAGGTTTAGATGAATCTTCTAAGAGTCGAGTAAATAAATGTGATCAAGATGCATATAAAGAAAATATGGCAATAACTATAATTAGACATGGATATACATTTTCAGTTGTAGAGCATGAAGGTAATAGGCRTATACATTCTGGTTTGAATCTAGAAGTGAAATATATTTCAGGTAATACTGCAAAAGCTTATGTATTAAAGATACACAAGGAGGAAAAAAAGTGGTATTTATTACAATGACTTCCTAGTAGAATTTGTCTTATATTAGATATGTGGACTTTAATTACCACGAAATCATATATGTGCATAATTGTTCATTTTGTTGATAGAGTGGAGGTTATAGAAATGGATTCTAAGTTTTTCTCATGTATCACCCTCTAACACTGGTATTACAATTTTGGACAAGGCATCGAAAGTATTAAATGAATGAAAAATTGAAAACAAGTTTTCAATTACTTTAGACAATGCCTCAACCAATGATACATTTGTTAATTTGTATAAAAGGCRTCTTAACTTGAAAAATGCACTTCTATTAGATGGAAAGGTTTTTCATGTGTGTTGTTGTGCACATATTTTAAATCTTATAATACAAGAAGGCTTGAAAAAAAATAGATGATGTAATAATTAAAATTCGAAAAATTGTAAAACTTGTTAAAAGTTTTAAGGCACGCAAATTAAGATTAATTGAATGTGCCAATCAATTGATGATTGAAAGTAAAAAGAAACTAATTTTGGATGTTTCTACAATGTGGAACTCAACATATTTGATACTTGAAAGGGCTATGTTTTATCGAAAAGCTTTTTCTTATTAGAAATCATATAATATCAATTATGTTAATGCTCCAACCGAAGAAGAATGGGTGAGGGTTAAAAAAATTGTTAAGCTTTAGAAAATTTTTTATAATATGACCAATATTTTCTCAAGAACTCAATATCTAACTTCAAATTTATGTTTTCACGGGGTTTGAAAAGTTAAATTGTGTTTAAAAGAAGCATTGAAAGGTACAGATGAATTTTTGAAAAAAGATGGTCAAGTCTATATTAAGTAAATTTAAAAAATATTGAAAAAATATAGGATTATTTTGTCAATTACTATGGTTCTAAATCCTCATTTCAAATTGAAATTTGTGGAATTTGTATACAGGAAGTTGTATAATATGGAAGATGCAACAAATCACATATTCTTATTGAAGAAATATTGAGGAACTTATTTGCTAATTACATGAAGAGTAGTAGTGCCATGCCTAATGTGAAATCAATTATTGAAACTGAAGCCACTAGTGATGCAATGCATGATGAGGAGTTTGATCCATTGAAGGCAATTATAATTTGAAAGGTATATTTTTATGAAATAAAAATATAAAGTTTTCATATATTAGTTATTCAGTTAATGTCTTATTACATTCTTATTATTATAGGAATCTGATACTTTTCAAAGTCAAGTCTATAGTATTCATGAAAAAAAATCCCAATTAGACTTGTATTTAGAGGAAACAAGTGTTGATCAAAAAAGCTATATTGATATCTTAGGATTTTGGAGATTGAATGAGTCTTGCTTTCCTGAGTTATCAAGGATGGCTCATGATGTTCTTAAAATTCCAATCTCTATAGTTGTTACAGAAGCTGCATTTAGTGGTAGAGGTAGAATTTTAGAACAATATTGCATTTCTTCCAAAAAATGTTGAARCTTAAGTTTGTACACGATTTGTCATTTGTTTCAAAAGGTAAATTTTTTCCCTTTTTGTAAATATTTATTTATGTAGATAACTTAAGTTTTTATAATAAAAT